ATAAAATTGTAAAGGAAAAAGAGGAATGATTAGTTCCTGCTCCGAGATATTAAAGCAAAGAAAATGCAGGACATATTATTTTATTGCAGCAAGTATAGCACGCGCACAAAGTTTAATTCATACTTCATATTATAAAGTATAGAGAAGAATTAAGGAGCAAGAGGGCTAGCGTCCAACACCGACACCGACACCGACGCTATCACCTACCACCAGCACGGTTAGTCATTTCTGGTCTCCTGGCTAGACTGATCAGATTCTTAAGTTTTGATCTTTATTTGTACAATTATTCTTTTGAAATGAGAGGAATATTTAGGATAGATGTAACCATGCTGATTTTTATTGGATCTTGAAACACATTGTGATATATAATGGAGGTGATCTATGTATTTCTGAAACCTCCATTAACAGTGAGAGTTTCAAGTCCAGCTATGTGTTGTTTTACACGAAATTCATTGCGTAGGAAGATTACAAAGTGACACAGAATACAAACGTTAAACGAAGCTTACTTTTGGGAGAGATCTTGTCAATATATGAAGAGAACAGGTAAGAGAGCAGTGAGTTGAGATCTACTCAAGTTTAAGTTTTTGGGAAAAACTGAATTAAACTGTCGGTTGATTCTACTTTGTTATTGAATTAAATTCGTTTCAGCGTCCAAATCTGATTGAAGATGTTTAAACAGTCTTCACAGTTCATAGCTTCATACACCGTGTAATATCATATGTTGAGAGTCAAACCGTTGGGAATGATTTATGATTGCAAAAAAATGCTAGATTTTCAGATAAAATCTGGAATGCATTGAAGCAAGTCAAAATGCATGAAGGTGCGATCGAGTTAGAAGTAGTAGATAGTTAGTTAGTTGAACATAAGTTGCGGCAAGATTGTCTGCCAATAAAAACTTTGAATGTTACCGCCACGTTTCATCAATTCGATGAATATTTAAGGCTTATTTGACCAACATTTTGTTTTGGTTTTTGATTTGGATTTAATATGTGATTTAAAATGTGGTTTGAGATAAAATTTAAAAACTTTTTAGGTGATATTTTAAATAAACTAATAATAATTTAAGACCACCACCGGACCACTTCCACCGCCGCCGCCACCGGCCGGCGACTGGCCGACTGGATACTGGCCAATTTCCGGCCAACCGGCCGACCGGATTCCAGCCAAATTCCGAAATATGGCTGGAATCTGGCAGCCAGCGGCAGGCAGTCCGGTGGCGACGGGTGGTGGTGGAGGTGGTCCGGTGGTGGTAGAAGAAAATTGTGTAAAAATAATTTTTAGAATATTTTTTAAAAGGTAAATTAAAAAATTGTTTGAATAGTATTGGGATTTGTGTTTGAGAAGTGTTTTAAGAGCTAAAATAAGACAAAAATGCAAAATAATTGTTGGGCAAACAGCCTTACATTCGCGCGCATGCCATGAAGGAGGTGCGACTTTTTTAAACCTGGAAAATGTCCTTGTTTTTACCCATGTCATGATCTGATATCTGCAGCGTGGCTCTATGTTTGTATCACGACGTGACATTCTATATATCTTCGAATAAAACTATATTGAAAATGTCTCCGATACTAGTAGTTACACGATTCTCCAATTGTTGTTAAGCCGTAATTTTACCCAAAAAATAATAAAAAACCAACAAGACACCGTTGGCTTAAAGTTTCCCATTCGAAGACAATTCTTGACGTGAATGAAAAGTGGTCTAAATGCCACTAACTATAAAATCATAATTCAATATGATCACATAAGCTGTTCTTAAAGCTTCCCCCAGAAACAGTGCCTTCTAAAACAATGGAACTATAATTTTATTTTATTCATTTTTTCTCCCAGAAACAGTGTCTCGCTTTATCTATCAAAACACCAGCCAGTTTCCAGGGCCTGACGCAAGAACGACCCTTATATTAGCATACCGGTCCACTGTGAATACTGGCTGTTACTGGATTGGGTTCAAATACTTTACACACATTGAGCCCAGTTGCAATACCAACTGGAAAAATGTCATTCTTTCTTTTTCTTTTTCTTTTCCCCTTAATTATAAATTTTTAATCTCTTTTGTCTTTCAGCCATAACACTATTGTGTAAATTGTGAGTTTGTGACCCTAATTGGCAATAATAAGTTTCGTGGCTCTAATGCCTTTTTTTTTTTTTTGATTTACAAGATCTAAGAAAAATCGAGTTTATCAAGATTTCAGAGATGCTATTAGCATCCTCTATTAATAACAAGCTAATCATGTTACGTGAGACACTAAAAAAAGAAAAAAGAAGTCCCTAACCAAATCTAATGAAGTGTTTGCTTGCACATCGGCACGAAATGCCTTTCACGTCATGGCATGAGTAATGTTGATGAAAATGGACATTTTGGATTAGTCACATTTGTCATTTCCGACGGTACCTTCCTTCCCAACAAGATGGCATGCTTAATGTTATTTTTTCCAGAAATAAATGCTTCAAATTGAAATGACGACATGATTTTTCTTCCATTTTACAATTACAAACGAAATTCAAATATTATGACGTTGCTTGCATCACAATATCAATAACTAAAGAATTCCATAAATGTAGCATACGAAAAAGCACAAAGAGTTTCATAATAACTTCTACCCTTTTACGTTTAGTATTCTTGGAAATAATACAAACTCTTGTTTACATTCATTAACTAGATTTAACCTTGTATGTTTCACACATTGTATCAGATTCGATTTTAAAATTTTTAAATTATATCTCTTACGTGAATAGAGTGTTATAGATCACAAAATATTATTAAACAAGCATTATTATAATTTTGTTACTATAATCAACGTTTAATTTGTATTAAATTTTAAATTCAAAACTAATTTTAAAACCATAAATAAATTATTTCAAATGTTTTAAAAAATTTCGTTGAATCATGTATCAAAAACGTTAAAAAAAATTAAATATAAATGGACAAAAAATCATTTTAATAACGTTTTCATCAAAAGTTTTTGCATGGTTTTATTCATTATGATATTAATAGTATAAAATATTTACCTTATTTAGATTATAGATTGGAACTGATCAAACTTTTTAAATAATATCCCTATATAGATTCTTAATGATAGTAAGTTACATAGTTGATTAATTTTATAAAAATATATTCCATATACAGATTCCTATAACATTGATTATGTATATCTAGAAAAAAAATTAAAAAAATTTAAAATTTCGGATAAAAAAGTAATTTTTATTTTAAAAAATTATCATTTTATTTTACACCTTAATGGAGTAAAAATAATGCGTGTCCTTTTAAGTCTTAAACTATCACATGAAATAATTCGTCTCGATTAACAACTCTTATATATAATGAGATTGAATAATAGTCTATGCTTAATTAACATGTTGCATTTCTTGAGAGTAATCTGAATTCACTTCCTATCAAAGATCTGTAAAGAAATTTTACCCATATTTAAGTGGGGCTCACTGGAATTGATTTTTTTAAAAAATATATCTCAATACGTGTGTATATATTCGTTTAATAATAAAAATTTTGAATAATATAAAGCTTATGATAAGTTCTTAACAACTGATGCTGAACCGCGATGGTGCGGAAAGCAGGCAGCTGGCCGATAGTTGAGTCCAGCAGTCTGATCAAACGGATAGGTGGCCTACGATGTAACACCAGACATCACGAGCAATGATACGAGTAAAGTTCCCCTAATGATGCGATTATCTTTCATAATAGGCTCAACCTCTTGTTATAACCTAGGTATTTTCCAAGCACTAATAGGTATCGGTTTAAAAAAAAAAAATGACAAGCGGATTAACTCGTTAAGAACTTATTGGAGGTTTATTATTCAAATGCTTGCCTCAATATCACCAAAAATCATTTAGCCATCAACTATTTGCATTTTATTGGGGCACCCAACTAATTGGAGCTAAGAACATAAATTTCACGTTTTTGAACACCACAACCAATAGGAGATAAGAATTAAAAAGTTATATCTTTTTAGCCTCTACATTTTATACAATTAGTAACTTGTCGTGGATATATATCTGAATTCATCATTTGGTCCATTTCACGTGGTACAATAAAGGGAAAAAAAATATTTTCTCTAATGTCACACGATTTTTTTCATAAGAGTGAAGATCAGCTAATAGTATAGTAATTTTACTGAAAATTGTCTGATTCCAACGATTGAATGAAATTGCAAGTTTTATTTTTATATAAAATAAATGATAATTCAGTAGTTTCCTCCTCCACCCAACCTTACATGTGTTATTTGCTTTATTCCCTTTACGTTTTTTGGTTTCAACATTTGGTTACTCTACTTTTTTTCTTTGGTTGCCTAATTTGTGAACTGCAAGATTAGTCGTCACCTCGCACTACACGCTAAAACTAAACAACACACATTATGCTTTGTTCCACCAAGTCAAAACTTACATCATATCACGTCTAAACATACAGAAAACTAACTAACAAAACTTAAATCATATTAATTAATTAGTGTTGTACTTCTTCAATTTCCGAACTGAATGTTATTTTTTTATATATAAATTATACTAAACGTGAAAATTTAAACATGGTAATTATTCAGAGAGGTAGATGGGAGAGTATAATGCTGAAATTGAGAAATGGCCAATTTAGAATCGTCCGCATATGATCAAGAGAATCTACAATATTGCAAAATCCTCTTTTGAAGTTTTGGTGAAATGCAAGGAATCTAAAGCCAACTGTTTATATTTACCGAATCTCAGGAACTCAGGTCGTGTGAAGCAAAAACCAAAAGATAGAGATATAGCAGCAAACAGCAATCTTGACCGTTATGACAATTGTTGACAAAAACACTCCTAATATTTTTTTTCCTTTCTTCAAACATTATTTGTTGCGTAATGGTTGGCTGGTGGCCTATTTCATCTTCAACCTTGCCATTTAAGTTCAAGTCTAATCTTCTGCCACCTGTCAAATACAATAAAATAAAGTATATAAATAACAAAAGCTAAAATTTATACTATTCTATAACATTTAATGTGCCTCCACTAACAATATCTATTTTGGCGAATGAAAAAGAAATATCGATTTTGTACCTACTTAAATCTAAATAAAGAAAATAACATTTTACAAAAACCCAAAAGTTCTTCGTTAGGGTTTGGGCCTTTTGCACAATTACAAAAATATATTGATAACTACTAGGACTCTCAAATTCTCAAATCCGATCAATCTTCAATCGAATTTGAAAAGATTTTGAAAAAATTTTGAAACCTAAAATTAGAAGGTAAGGAAATCAAGAAAAGGTTATCTTCTTAATTTGAGACATCATCCGACCTTCCTTAACCGATATGTCTCAACACCAAGAAAGCCTTCATGATCCCCTGAAACCATGGAAATACATTCTCTTTTCTCCATTTAAGCTCACCGACGCCACCGCTAAATTCATGAAGGCCGTTTTCTTAGTATGTTTCGTCACTTCCATCTCCTTAGTTTCCTACTCTTTTTTCTCCACCACCACCACCACCAAATATTTCCGATGTGCCGGCTTCGATGATCACTCGGTCATCCACGCCGCCGTCGCCGCCGCTCCCGCTGACATTCGTCCTCCCGGCGGCGATCCTCTCTCGACGAACATATCTCACCTTCTTTTCGGCATCGGCGGCTCCGTTACGACGTGGGACGAGCGTCGTAAATACAACGAAATCTGGTGGGAACCAAACGTTACTCGCGGTTTCGTGTGGCTGGACGAAACGCCTACCCAAGACGCCACGTGGCCGGAGACTTCACCGCCTTACAAAGTCTCCGCGGACACGTCAAGCTTCAAGTACACATGCGGCTACGGGTCACGGTCGGCGATACGGATTGCCCGGATAGTGAAAGAGAGTTTCGAACTCGGGTTGGACAACGTCCGGTGGTTCGTCATGGGGGACGATGACACGGTGTTTTTCCCGGAGAATTTGCTGACCGTATTGCGTAAATACGATCACAACGAAATGTATTACGTGGGAGGAGTATCCGAGAGCGTGGAGCAGGCGATTGTGCATTCGTACACCATGGGATACGGCGGCGCTGGGTTCGCCATCAGTTACGCCCTGGCGGCGGAGCTGGTGAAGATATTGGACGGTTGCATTGACCGCTACGCCTCATTCTACGGCTCGGATCAAAAGATTGGTGGCTGCATTATGGAAATTGGCGTTCCTCTTACTAGAGAACCCGGATTTCATCAGGTTTTCCAATTTCTTATTTCCCATATCAATTACGGATTCTTTGGGATTCTTTTCTTTTAATTTTTTTTGAATTTTCAAAATCCCGCACATCCATATTCATCAACCCCATTTTCTTAAGTCTAATAAAAAAAAAATTCTAAGTTCTAACCATTACAAATTAGGATTATTGTTTCTGAAACAAAATTAGTAAAGATGCTATTTAATCTTCTTGGTATTTTAGCTCTGGCAGTTAAAACATCTCTTAAATTTAAGTTAGAATTCCATTTAATTTGAAGTTTAAGTGCTACCATATGAGTAATTTAATGGCATAATATCTGAGCATTGATCAACAAAAGAGTCACTTTGATTTATTTATTTATTTTTAATTTTGTTTAGATTTTCGGTGCTGTTTTTCAGGCATTAATTTCAGTTACAATGTCACCATTATTTTGTTCAGATTTTGTGAATCTACTTGCAATATTTATGAAGGGGTGAAATTGTCATTCCAGGTGGACATACGAGGGGGCCCGTACGGACTTCTCGCGGCGCACCCATTGGCGCCATTGGTGTCGCTACATCATCTGGACTCCGTGCAGCCCATATTTCCGGAAATGGATCGGGTTGACTCTGTCAAGACTCTGGTTAAGGCATACGAGTCGGACCCAAGCCGGGCGCTACAACACACCTTCTGCTACGACCTGAAACGAAATTGGTCAATCTCTATATCTTGGGGATACACGGTTCAACTGTACCCGACGTTACTAACGGCGCAAGATCTGGCCACACCCGTACAGACATTTTTGACGTGGAAGTCATGGGCCCCGGAACCATTCACGTTTAACACACGGGCCAACACCCTTGACCCGTGTGAGCGACCCGTGGTCTACTACTTTGACGGCGTTGATAGGAAGAGTGTTAAGGGGGTTGAAACAACGACGTCGTCCTACAGCAGGCCGCCTCAGTCCGTGAAACAATGTGAAAAGGACATCTACGAGCCGGCTTTGGCCATTCTAAAGTTCAATGTCACGGCGGCAATTCTACACCCGGACACATGGAAGAAGGTAACAATTCTCCTCAATTATTGACTTATTAAATACTCCTCTACTTAATTTGCAAGTTTGAATCATTTCATTAATCGTTGATTAAGTTCCCTTTTTTCTTTCCTTACCATTTTCAACACGAAAAAATGTTGAAGAAGCTGCTTCTTTTGTTATGAAATAATTGTTTTATTTTTATATTTTCATTCTTAATACAATTTATATTTCGGGACAGAGGGGCTAACGAAATTGAATGGTACGAGAAACTATTTTCTTTAGGCCTTTTGTATGGGGTACGTGATGGATGAATGATATTTGGTTAGGAGGATTGAGGACAAAGAAATGTTGCGAATGCCATTGAACCGGATGTTTTTTTTTTTTTTTTTTGCCCCCGATATATATGTACCCTTGACGGAATAGTCACGTTCTGATAGTGTTGGTGCAAGTCCAAAACGGATTGAGTAGGCCAATTTATAGGCGAAATTTTGCTAGAAGTATGATTATGTGTTTAGAAAAACAAAATGAGCCTTTTTTTTTTCTTCTTCCTCAAAGTCACCAAACAAATTAGCGTGAACGTGTCGAATCCTGAGAATGTAAATTTGGTGGAAGGAGAATTGTTATGCACATGAACAGTTCATGAACGATTTTCCTCCTTTATTAGAGGTATCATTTGACTCTCGAGTTGATATGCTTTACGCATAGGAAAAGAATTTTTTGGCACATGAACTCTAGGTGAATAATTTCCCGCAATTTGTGGTCTCATTCCGGAATCATTTATTAATTGCTAGGGGGGGCTTGTCACATGAACACTTTGGCATCGTATGTGGTACTCTTATTTAATTGTAATACACATAATGAAATGATACATGACTAACACTATTTTGCTTGTTCTTTCTGATATATCTTTCCTATTATATTGTGAAAATTGTAATAAATGTTTTGACCGATCCGTTTACTGGGCAGGCGCCACGTAGACAATGTTGCGAGATCATCAACGGTGGAAAGAAGGACAATGTTGTACAGATCAAAATTAGAGACTGCAAGCCATGGGAATCGGTAACATTACCCATTATTGTGGAAACTTAGTTACGAAATTCTGAGCTAACCTGAAAGTTTTGTAACCCCCAAAAGAGAGAGAGAGAGAGAGTGTGTGAGGAGAGGAAAAAGGTCCAATTCCATTGTTGATTGGTGCCAAGCAGAAAAACTCGAAAATTTACAGTGCATGTATATTCTCAGCATCACGGGGCTATCTGCATATTTATATGTCATCTTTAATCCTTTTTCCCAGCTAACATTTTTAGTTGATAGGGTTATTATATGCGTATTATTAATGCAAAAGCCTAACCATACCAGTAGAAAGAATCATAAATTAAGTGGTGTCACTAACCATCATGTGATTTTTCTTATTTCTTTTGTTTTCAGTTGGAAAATGTGGTCGGAAAAAAACATTAAGTTTTGTGAAAAAATGCATTCAAATCCTCAATTAGGAGAAGCCCATATTTTTGTAGGCGTAGAAAATTAAAAACACCTCTAAATTTTGTTTGACTTTCAGGAAATGGGAGAGGTTTCATTAAAATGCACTTAAGTTCAATATAGATTTCTCAAATATGCATTATTGCGAGTGTTGTATAGTTTTCCATTCATTGGTGATATATTAGTATGATCTAGTATATTAAATTTTGGTCAACTACCTCCGCTGCCGACCTAACCAATAATTTTTGTGCATCAAGCTCAATACATGTGCCGCTAGTATCACTTTATCAGTGTTCTTGGAAGGAAACCACCAAGTCGGTATTACGGGTCTACTTTTATATAACACTCATAAGAATTTATCAAGTGTATAATCTTTGTTTATAATTGTTCATCCATTATCTCTTAAGGTGATAGGCAATTATTGTTATTATTTTTATACAAATATCCAATATTGACATGTTATCTTCTTCAATAAATAATGTGTTATGTGAATGGTTAGAAAAAGTGAAAAACTGTTGGCAGAACTCCAATCCCACAAAAGCCTGCATGTAGTACATATGTATAAATAATATACTGTACATAAGACTTACACAAATAATAATGCCTCTCTCCAAAATGATTCTTCAGCTATTATAGATAAAATACCTGATTTGCGTCTAGCTACTCATGTATTCTAATTCTTTCCTTCCTGCATTAATTTGTTCGCCATTGTAACAAGCATCCTCTTCGTAATCCTAAAATAATGCGCATGGATAATGATATACTCCCTCCGTTTCAAAATAAGTGTCATTTTAGCAAAATGAAAAAATTTTAAAATAAGTGTGATTTTCACATTTCAATACATTTTTTATCCAAAATTCTCAAAATTACCCTTAAGAGAATTAATATTGTTGGTGGATATTTTTTTTAACAAGGTGGGTTAAGGATATCCAAATAATTTTATTACCTTATTTAAGAGTTTCTTAAACTATGTGCAAAGTGTAAGATGACACTTATTTTGGAATGGAGAGAGTAGTACTACTTCTATTCACAAATAGATGTCGCTGAAAAGATTTTACAAAATTTAAGGAAACAATAATTATCTTGTTAAAATACAGTAATACCCTAATTTACTCTTCCTGTTTTGATTTTGGCCCTGACGGGCATCACCACACTACCTTTTCACCTTCAACAAATTTTGCCCATACGGGCTTCAACACAATAATAATTGCAATAGAGATTTTCAGCGCTGGACACCCTCATTTACTCTTAATACAATTATAGTCCCAATAATATTTGGTTCTAATATAATTCTACATTAAACATCGTAACAGTTCAAATGTAAGGGTAGTATTAGAAAAAATTGACAAAACTTGTCTCGCTATGTGAAAACAACATCTATTTTGAAATATTTAGTTTTTTTCCAACGACATCTATTTGTAAATAGATGGATTACTAACGAAGAAAAAAAAAATAAAAAATGAAGTGACTTGATTGTATTGTTGTCCTACCCGGTCAACTGAGTAAGCAGACATAATTGCTTATCATTAATCATAAAATATCAACTGTCAAGAAAATACTGAAAAGAACATCGGCACCTTCCTTCAGGCCTTGAAATAAATGCAATAGAAAAGGAACCAACTTTATTTTATTTTATTTTTTTTTTAAAAAAAACAAAAGGTACTGTATCAATCAACTCCCAAATGTCAAATTACGCACTAAATTTTCCGTGTAAACAGATGATATTGAACGCAAATCCCTTTGACGGATAGCATTAAAGGATACCCAAACCGTACTAATAATTACAATTTAGGCCGACGTTTCTAATTAGTTTAGTAATTTCTGCGTTCACAACCAGGATTTTGTAGCATCCTTTGGCTATCAGTAATTATCATGGACTTGGTAAGCTAATAGGTACGGACTACACAGTACTCACTCATAGTTTTAAGCCTTTTTCCGGTCAAATTATTTGCTTCACTCTCATTGTCTTTGGATTCCTTAAGTCAATTTGTCCCTTTGAGAGCATTTAATTTCCTTGTGAAATCATGAGCAATAGGAACTATTATTTTCTGTTCTAGTAAAATAACTGTCATATTTTTTATATTTAAAAATAATTTTCATGTCTGTTGTAATGAAAGTAAAAACTATCATGTTTGCAGTATTGAGATATGGGTTCAAAATATTTTTAAACAACAAAGTCTTTGGTCTACTGACACGTCTATATGTCATTTTCACTGCTTATGCTTAATAAGTGACAGTAGAGTTGTATAAACATATAACATGTCAGAGTGATTAAGAATTGGGATTAAAAAATAAATAAATAAAAAGAAGCAAACGTCATACAAAGAAAAACTAGAGATGACATGTAGCAAAAACATGAGATGTCGTGGGAACATCCAATGTGTGAAAAGTAGAAATTATTAACACGGAAATGACACTAGAAATGAAATGAAAGTCTATCTTACGAAGACTTACTCCATTGTCTGATTAAAAAAAATATCAAGTAAAAGACTATTGCGTCAATCAAAACAAAATGCCGTTTAAATATATATCCTTGCGGCAAAAACTCATAATTGTAAAACTATTTTGTGATCCATAACAAAAACCTGAAAAAGTAAATTCAAATGAGAGACGCAAGGGAAATTGAAAGCCGATAGAAAGTTGTGCTTTTATTTAATTGATTAAGAATAAAAGTAAAACTTTTTACAAAAGTAAGACCAAAAAGTTACGATTAACCAAGTATATAGAGAGTCAAATTTCACATCCGATTATTCAGTAAATTTGACAATATCTAAATCATGTTTATTCAACTTAACTTAGAAAGTATCACGAGTTATGATTACACTATGATGTAATAGGAGCAACGTATATTACACTCTCGACTAGCATATTATGTCCTTTTTAAGATGGAGAGAGTATTAAGGTAAAAGTAGTAAACTTAATAAATGTTTACAAATTAGTCAAACTCGTCACTGACTTCGTAAATGTACATTTAATTAAAATAAGCAGTATTATTAGCCTTTAGATCATGGGTTTTCCCACATGGCATTGGATGTAAAATATCATTATTGTAAAGATTCAAATTCTCCAACTGGCATAAGATACTTTTTATTTCATTCTTATCAGTCTCGTCTGATATAAATGCATGAGAAGGCAGTACTGGAAAAAAATCCAGGTCCAACGGATTCAACCGACTTCAACGAAATTCTACGAGAAAAAACCCCCCCAAAAAAGGTCAACTCGTGAAATTAAAATTCCACCACCACCTTAATTAAGAAGGCCCTTCCATGGCTTTTTCCTCCTCCTCCGCTGCCTGACTGTCATTTTTTCTCTCTCTTTCTCCGCCCTGTTCCACCCCGAAGCCGCCTGTGGATTTCCAAACCCCCCGCAGGCCCACCTCCACCGGCTAACTTCTAACGCGTCATTTCATTTTCCTCCTCCTTTCAGAAATAAATTCAAACGAATTTAAATACCCAGCTCATTCCACCCTCCCCCAAATTGCAAAGCTCTTGAATGATCAAAATAATAACGTTAATTACCAGTTTCCCAATTCCAAATTTGATTGAAATTTCAAAATAAAAACAGAGCAATAACTCATTGCTCTCCTCCTGAAATGGTGGCTTTGAAAAAAATGGGTTGGTTTTCGGAGCTGAGCATTCGGAAACACGGCGACAATACAAATGAAAAGGGCATTTTTTCCTCCTCCTCCTCCTCCCCTGAGTCGAAGAAATCTGACAATATGGGAATCCTGGCGTTCGAGACGGGAAGAACAATGTCCAAATTGGTGTCTCTGTACAAATCCCTTTCGGATGCAGAGATCTCCAGGCTGAAAAATGAGGTGACCAGGTCTCAGGGGATTAGGTATCTGAATTCAATGGACCAAGGCCTGCTTATGAGCCTCGCATGCGCGGAGAGGCTCGAAGACCTCGACAAGGCGGCCAACGTGGTGATTCGATTAGGCCAGAAATGCCGGGATTTCGGGTTGAATCGTTTCGATCTCGTTTACATGGATCTCAAACTCGGGATCGTTGATTTTAAGAAGCTGGTTTATGGTTCCAGAGAGATCGAGAAGATGATTGGGAAAATGGAGAGATTGGTTTCGGCAACGTCAAATTTGTATACATCTTTGGAAGCTCTGTCGGGATTGGAAATGTCTGAAAGGAGGATGAATCAATGGAAAGACAAAGCACCACCGACTCAACCCAAGCCAAATGTTAACCTTTTCAAGCAGAAATTGGAATCACAGAGAAAACAGGTTCAATATTTTCGAGAAACCTCCCTCTGGAGCAAAACGTTTGATAAGAGCGTTGGACTAATGGGTCGGGTTGTTTGCTTCGTTTACGCCCGACTTTGTGCAGTATTCAGCTCTCACGTTCCAGTTCCTTCCTCGGTTTGCTTGAGAAACACAAGGTCTTCGCTTCAGAGTCATGAGAACATTCTCAAATTTCAGCCGGAATATTGTCTGATTGAGCCAATAATGAAGGAACAAGTTCGTTCACATTCCGGGTCGATCGTGCAAGGCACCAATAAGCCGATTCTGGTTCGATTTTATAGCCAGAGATCAAAGTATTTTCAGCAAGAAGATGATGGTTTTGGTTCATTGACTGTTACAAAGCATAACAGGGTATTCCATGCCGCAGGGCCCTCTACCGTCGGTGGTTGTGGGCTTGCTTTACGTTATGCTAATGTGATTTTAATGGCAGAGAAATGCTTGTATTCGGGCGAATCAGTAGACCCGGAAACGAGACAATCCATGTATGAAATGCTGCCGGAGAATCTTAAATCCTTGGTCAAATCAAAGCTGAGTAAAAATGTGAAGGGAACAGAGCATGATGAATCATTAGCCTCGGGATGGAGAGAAGCTTTGAAAGAGATATTGGGATGGCTTGCTCCGATGGCGGACGACACCGTGCAATGGCATTTGGAGAGGAATCCGGATAAGATGAAGTTTGATGCAAAACCTCCCGTTTTGTTGCTGCAAACGTTGCATTTTTCGGATAAAGAGAAGACTGAAGCTGCCATTGTTGAGGTCCTTGTTAGCTTGAGTTGTATATTGAGGCACGAGAATCGCTTGTTGTGACATTATATTAGTCGTTTACTAGATTTGGATTTGGCAAGTTCAACTGTGGAATAGGTGTAGATGTTTGTTAGCTATAAACTGTTATAGTTAGAATTAACTGATTGCAAATGAGTTCTTTGAAAAAGAGAAAAAAAAAAAAAATCAAACTAACAAATATACAAGATATGTTTTGTTGTATCCTATGTTCTTCTTTTCATTTCCTGTAAATAAGTTGAAACTGATTGTTTGACATTAAATTCTCTAGCTAGCTTTGCTTTTGAGTTGATTCTTTCATAAGCTTTGTTAATTTTCAGAATGCTGCCTTAGGCTAGTGTTAAGGTTATGTTTTTTGTCACTATTTCATGTTCTTCTGAAAATCGCAATCTGATAGTACTTGGCTAGAGTTCGTTTTTTAGTGATTACACACAATCTTAAGATACAAAATCCTAATAACCTCATGGTTTAGACATTAATTAACATCCTCCGGGCCTTGGTTAGAGATTTTTTGTCTCTAAAGAATAGATGCTAATTCTAACTTCTGAGTGCTTGCGAACCTGCCATTTGCACAAATTTGGGTTTGCGATTTTTGCTTGACCTCTATCCCCCGAGAATAGCTACAATGATAAAGTCAAACATTAGTTGTCAACATGCAGATAAAAATCCTCGTTTCGGCAGGCAAAAGTGGGACAAACACATGTCTCAATAATACAACGAAGTGATTACATATAAACTATAACATAATCAAAGCTGTTCCACGTTGTTTATTTATTGTTTTGATAGATTTTATATTGAAAAGGTCAACTCAGAACTAAGCTCAGAACGTGTACAAAAGGTGTACATTCTCCAGTCCGAAAATACGTTCATTTGAATTCTATGTTCGTGTGCCCCTAAATTGGGCTGACCTCTACAGAAGACATGCTTTTGTCATATTTACAATATCTTTCCAAGTAGTGGGGCAAGCCAATACCAGGACATATTCAAGCCCATTTACAAGTGACAAAAATCATTCTCTCTAGAGTTCGGTTGCCACCATCTTAGAGTCCAAGTGCTGATGAATTTTGCATCCATCAACTAAAATATTCACTTAAGTTTAGTGGTGAAGTGAAGGAGACTACTTCACTTTTAGCAAAATAAGTCAGGGTTTGAAACTCATGTTATGAATATGGAGTAACTTTAAATCTTGTAATCTACTCTTTCAATGTAACAAAATTTTATAGTCATTAAGTATAATTTTTTTTTTGGTAAACCATTAAGCATAAATATCAAGCATTTGGCATGTATTTTCTTTTAAAAAGTAGATGGAGGTATGGTAGACAGGTAGAGACAACACACAGAATGGCAAAGGCAGTCCGACGTCTGGCCTTAGCAATGTAATGTTAATTAGTAATAATCACCTTTGAATTAATGTAATTTTAGCCTTCAAAATTTCAGTTACTGCTGGAAACCCCGTGCAGCTCATGTCGTTTCGTGCTTTCATTTTCTCCAATTTTACATCAAACTCATGAAAAAAAGATATACCCTATTTAATCAATTCCAGGATAGATTCTAAAAATTTGTTTCCAATAATTTTTTGATCGTTTCAAATTAATTGAGTCGAAACTTGAGACAATACCAGAAGCTACCGATACAATTTATGGCGGGGGAAGAAGCTTAAACCATAACCTCACAGCTTAAGCATCCAGAATCATCTGCTTCTGGACTTCTGGTCAAATCAACAAAACACAAAATTCTCCCTAGCATTTGCTATTAGTCTAAGACTTCATCATCATATCATCAGCATAATAAGGCCAAATATCCATATTTTTGTGGCCATTAGATTTCCACAAGCCAAATGCTCTGGATTTCCCTATTTTGGAGACTTGCAATAACTGTCACTTTCCAATATGCATTATCCAACCTTAACAATCACTAAGCCCATCCTATAAAAGCCTTCCCATACTGCATGATCATCTTCAACCCACGATCTCTTTTCTTCTGCTTGATCATAAATACCTAAGCTTTCCCAACTCCAACAAGTGTCTAACAATGGCTTCCTCTCTCTTTACTTCTGGAGTTGTCAACAGATCACTGGTAAAAATAAAATAAAATAAAATAAAGACAATCTTTGAAGTGATCGAAATTATATACCTTCACTGTGTGTAAGATATCTCATTATTCTTGCATGAATCGCGTATTTTGTCTTCGGCTTATTGAAGTTTTTTTAGCTTCCGAGACATATACTATTAGTTTACAACGTTACTTTTTTGTTGTGTTTCTTTTTCTGTCTCTCATGCATTATTCTAACATTTGACTCGTGACAAGCTGGAAAGGTGTTTGTGCAGTTTCATTCGCCAAATTTGTTGGAATCATTCTGTCTTTTTGATGTGTATCTCAAGAAACAGAGTTTTCAATTTTCACTACTTTTTGTAGCCTCTTGAACACCCTTTGAATCTTTGTATACGAATTTATGCTTAACACTGATTGAAAATGGAATGTATAATTCCTCTAAAATCATGTACTGCACTAAATCGCACTATACCCTTGGTGCAGTTAAATCTGAATGGATCCAATGTGGGAAGTACTACTTCATTTCCAAGCAAAGCTTTGTTCGGCAAAGGAGTTAAGAAAGTTGCATCCAGAGGGACTGAGCATTCCTCCAGAGAATTCAAGATTGTTGCAGCAGTAGATGAAGAAAAACAGACCAGCACGGATAAATGGAAAGGGCTGGCGTACGATACCTCGGATGATCAACAGGATATCACCAGAGGTAAAGGAATGGTTGACACCCTCTTTCAAGCTCCAATTGGTTCCGGTACTCATCACGCCATCATGAGTTCTTACGATTATGTTAGCGCCGGTCTTCGCCAGTAAGTATTTGGATCACTTCACTTTATGAACTTGGATTGGGAGATTATACATTCATCTGGGAGCTGCTAATAGCCCAGATGGAGGTCTAATTTCGGATTTGATTCTGATTTTCCAGATTTAACTATGATAACAATATGAATGGATACTATATTGCTCCTGCTTTCATGGACAAGCTCGTGGTTCACATAGCTAAAAACTTCATGGATCTTCCAAACATCAAGGTGAGAACTGAGAATTATAATTTTGATCATTGAATTTTACCAGAGGTTTCCCATTTTGAAAAGAAAAAGCATTTGATTTTCTGTTGCCATTTCTTGCAGGTTCCACTAATTTTGGGGATTTGGGGAGGCAAAGGGCAGGGGAAATCCTTCCAATGTGAACTTGTATTTGCAAAAATGGGTATCAAGTAAGAGTTACTGTCCATCAATAATCTTGAAACTAGCTAATGTTAATTGATTAGTATATATACTCAAACTGAGAGCTTTCTCTATCTAAATTTGCAGCCCAATCATGATGAGTGCTGGAGAACTGGAAAGTGGAAATGCAGGAGAGCCAGCAAAATTGATAAGGCAAAGGTACCGTGAAGCGGCTGACAGAATTGCTAAAGGAAAAATGTGTGTTCTGTTCATCAATGATCTTGATGCTGGAGCTGGTAGGCTTGGCAATACCACACAATACACAGTAAACAATCAGATGGTAAATGCAACTCTGATGAACATTGCCGATAATCCCACCAATGTTCAGCTTCCTGGTATGTACAACCAGCAGGAAAATCCGCGTGTTCCTATAATCGTCACAGGAAATGACTTCTCCACTTTGTATGCCCCTCTTATCCGTGATGGCCGAATGGAGAAATTCTACTGGGCACCAACCAGAGAAGACAGGATTGGCGTTTGTGGCGGTATATTCCGATCAGACAATGTTCCCAGGGAAGACATTGTCAAGCTAGTCGATGCCTTCCCCGGTCAATCAATTGGTATATTCACTCACTCATTTTTAGAAACATGATATCATTTTGAGACAGAGAGAGTAACTAGGATACAATACACTCTTACGGATTCTAAGAACACGCTTTGTTTTGCAGATTTCTTCGGGGCAATCAGGGCCAGGGTGTATGATGACGAGGTGAGGAATTGGATTACAAGTATTGGTATAGAGAACATTGGGAAGAGGCTGGTGAATTCAAAAGATCCACCCCCAACTTTTGAGAAACCAAAGATGACTCTGGAGAAGCTGCTTGAATACGGAAATATGCTTGTCCGAGAACAGGAGAATGTAAAGAGAGTCCAATTATCTGACAAGTACTTAAAGGAAGCTGCACTTGGTGATGCAAATGAGGACTCCATGAAGAATGGAACCTTTTATGGTTAGCACTTTTTTGGACCTTTTTCTTCATGATCATCTTATAGGCCTAATGATGAGTCCATTTGCAAAAGAATCAAGTTCAAAAACATTTGAATAAAGTGGCATTTGAAGAGTTTCAAACTAGTTTTTAGCTAAACTGGTTGTTTTGCATTGTCCTCTGGATGGGCAGGAAAAGCGGCACAACAAGTTCATGTTCCGGTTCCAGAAGGCTGTACTGATCCATCGGCAAAGAACTTTGACCCGACTGCTCGGAGTGACGATGGAAGCTGCGTCTACAATTAACCAGCTGATTATCGATTTGCGTGATATAAGTACCGCGTGTGTAAATGTGAAATTCAATGAAGTAAAGATGGGCATTTTGTTGCACTTAGTTAGTACTGCTAGCAATGTTTATAGCTAGTGTTTTGGTTAAGTAAATTCGAAAAGAACAAAAACAGAGCGGCAGCTTTTAAGCGTCTTAAAAAATGTGTTCCAATTTGGACGGTACGCTTTATCCATATGAAACGCTCAATTTGTTACCATTACTCATACGTAAGTTACTATCTCATTAGGCCAAATGTCCGTGTTCTCCCCTTTTTTGTTTCTTTTTCAGCAGAGAATTCAGGTGGAATATGCGTAAACAAGAACTGAAAAGACAATTAGAAGAAGTCCAGCCAGGCTCCATTGAAACAATAACGTCTAAAACAAAGGAGAAAATAGTTAAATGGCAAAGAGGTTCTTATTGATGGTTTTCCTTTTTATTACAAGCATTTTTGACAGCAGTCTTTCCAACGCACCAACTTCTTGAGAAGCCCTTCAACCGAGCCTAGGCGGACGGAGAACTATACCTTTAGCATCGACAAATATTCGCACCCTCTGAAGGTTCAGTTCATCCGCCACCGCAGTAGAGGGTGGAATAATCTCAATCTTATATCCAGGCACATCTTTCTGGATTATCTCTCTGGCTGCTTCACCTGTTAAACCAACCACCTCGGGCCAAGTTCCCTCTCCATTGGGAGTTGACGACGAAACCAGAAACAGGCTGAACAAAAGCAGAAAACCCAAAATTTCTTTCCTCATTTTAGCTTCAAAAGTTTCCGAACCCAAAAGATAAACCCGAGAAATGTTAAGTGAAGCAGCAAAGCATTGGAATTTATTATATCTGTAAGTTTGCTAAAAGGCTTGCTTTTCATTTTCCAATGGATATGCAGGAAAAGCAGCACAACAACAAGTTCATGTTCCTGTTCCATAAACGTTTGTAAATCTGTGGGGGTTGAAGAACAAAAACAAGCGCATAATTTTCGCTACATTTCTTTCCGTGTATTCTCTGTTTTGCCAAACCTAAGTGGTGGTTCATTAGGCGCAAAGATCATTCCAGGAATACCATCTTTTAATCAATTGCAAGATTTGCAGCCTGAGAACCCGAATTCAAGCACATTCCTGAATCATGACCAATCCCTTCCCATTCCCTGGTGCAAAAGATTGAACGGCGCTTAACAAAACTATTGAGGGATTACCCTCGAACCAAAGCGTTTGTATTTGTTTTTCGGGTTTGATTTGGGTCAAGAATAATACGCACTAATGCTCCTTCTGTAAGGAAATCTAGTTTTGAGCAGAGAATAGAAAAAGAAATACTGCGAAGAAGTTAAATCAGATGACAATTAGAAGAAACCGATAAAAAAAAGACTCCATTAAATCAGATGACATTTAAATTACAAAAAGCTTCTTATTTGACTGCTTTCCATTTATTCAAGAGAAACGCTCGATATCATTCACAGAATAAACAGTCTTTTCCAAAAGCACAAACTTCTCGAGAAGGACTTTACAAAAGCTTCAACCGATCCTCGGCGGACGGAGGACTTTTCCCTTGGCATCAACGAAAATCCGCACCCGATAGGGGTTGAAATCGTCAGTCACCGCCGTATTGGGTGGAATAATCTGAACCTTAGCTCCAGGCATCTCTTTCTGGATCTTGGCTTTTGCAGCTTCCCCTGTCAAACCAACCATTTGGGGCCAAGTTTTTCTTTCATACTGAGCTGACACCGAAACCAGAACCAAACTGAACAAAAGAAGACAACCCAAAATTTCTCTCCTCATTTTAGCTTCAACTGGAAAAAAATTAAAAAAAAAAAAAGCTAGACCGGAAAATATGTCACTCTGCTTTTGGCGAAAATGAAACAGCAAAACACCTGGAATTTATAAGGACTTTACGTTGGGAGTTTCAAACGCGTACAAACGTCAGCAGCTAGCCACGTACTACGATGTATATCGGTTTTTTCTTTCGAGTAAATTAAGAATGGATGATGGTTTTTTACACAAACCAAGGAGTCTAGCCCATTGAATCGTGTGGTTAAGGAGAACGTTACAGGGACCAGAGTCAAGTTACTACCATTATCAATGTTTTACATTGACTGGTTTAATTATCTCAGTAACTGAAAGTAGTTCTTGAATACCAGTAGTTATCGGTTGGGAAGTTCTTGTTGAAAGCAGAGTGCAAGAATCCATTTGGAGGAAAGATGGTAGTACTACTATTATCCTTTGCCTAGATTTTCCAATTTCTGCAAGCGTGTATTATGGTTGTACTCTTTTGGATTGATGCTGGAATGGCTGACCAGAAAACGTTTGTTTTTTTGTGTCCTCAAGACTGAAAACTTGTTCTGATCCAAACATGAGGTTGGTAAACTTTAAATTTGGACTAATAACTCTTTGGAATAACATTTGAATGAACCCCTAAGATTTTTTGAAGTGATTTCGTTATCCCCTCCTTTATTTTTTATTATTTTTTTAAAAATATAATCATCCATTGCTGAAATGAAGAACAACAACAATAACACCAACAAGAATCGGTAAATAAAAACATCGCACATTGGGTTTTTTAAAAAAGTCCAAAAATGTCTTCTCGTGTTTCTAGTGCACTAAAATAAACTTACGTTTCCCAAAAGACACTGAATTCAATTGAGGCATTACGTTAACTATATTGTGCTAGTTTAGTCACGATTTTAACCAGTTTTGGAGTCTATCTAGTCGTGGAAGGCCTCCATCTTCATTAGTGCTCAGAGAAACGAATTACTAGTGGTAAGCAGCACAATTGTCTTTTCACTGACGTCTACTGTAAATTTTTGTCAACTATTGATGTCAATATTGAATTGTACGTTGCGTGCTTTAATAAGCCTAGAATTTACTTCAAATAAGAACAACACTTCCCTTTCACAAACAGTAGGAAGAAAAAAAAAGAACAACACTTCCAACGATCTTTCCTTCAATTTTCAGCATTGTAATAGAAGTAGATTTTGCGATTATTTGCTATACTTTTCTGCTTACACCCACCATAAAATACTGTAGAAGTCGATCTGTAATGTGGTTTCCACAAACCATACTTACTACTCCGGTTTGGTTTAGCAAAAAGCGTTACCTTTGGTCATTGGACCCTGAGTTAAATTACATGCCATTATCTTTCATTTATTAGGTATCCACCAGTTATAACAAATTATTATTCCTGGGGATTTATTCAAATGAGATTAAAAGGCTTCAACTGAAACGTATTCATTCAAGCTACTGCAACTTTTTTGCAGTTTCTAGATTTACTTTTACTCCCTCCGCTACCAATTAGTAGGATTCACCAAAGTAGACCCCTATGATGCTTGATTAATCCAAACATACTCGCCATACGAAAGGAATTACTACCATGGTTTATTAACACAGGCAGCGACTTTATTTTCTGCTACTAAAAGGTGTGTTTATACTTTATATTACAACACAAAGAAGTTGGCCACAAATTCAGAAACAGTAGTTAATCTTCACCTTAAAAAGTCAACTCAATAAACTCACAAGCTGCAGATTTGTTATGACAGAAAGTAACAATCTGAGATGAGAATTTTAACCAATCATAGGTGCACGGACGACTTTTCCATCGGATCCAGTGAAGATCCGGACCCGGTTTGTTCTGTAATCCATCGTAACGAAACAACCTTCAGGAACAATCTGCACGTTAGCACCCGGTTTCTCTTCCTTGATCCTTCTTTCCGCTTCTTCGCTCGTCAACCCCACCAGTTCCGGCCATGTCTTTTTCGGACCAGCCGTCGATCCACCCATTCCGCCGAACGATCCTGAAACGGAGATAATTCATTAATGACTTATTATACTGATTGCAGAATGAACTGAATTGTACTGGGCAAGAAAAATTAAATCGTTGCCTGGTCCGGCGAATCGCTGCGGAGGTGCTTCCTCGCCGGATTTGTCTGCCTGCTGCTTCTTATCTTCCTCGGCCATTATTGGGAAAGCTTTCTAGTTTGAGCTGATTTGATATAATTGGGAACTTGCTTTGGGTGATTTGACTTCATATAAAACCAAATTTCATTGGCTTCGTAAACTCCGACCAAAGGATGTGAAATGCCGGCACCGATTGATATATTTTATTATTGTATCATTATCGTTTTCTTTTAGTATGCAGATAAATTAAAAATAAGAAATGAAACAAATTTTACTGTAACCAATAGTATAAAAATAAATTAATGTGTTTTTTTAGGTGAAAGGTAAATAATTGATGCTCAAAACCGTCACTTATATACAAGTACTAGGGGGTGAGATGTGCAGCTTTGGGGTGGGTAGTAGCCCAAGACCAGGAGGATATATATAAGGAAATAAGAGAGAGTGGAAGAGAATTGAGATTGAGATTTTTACTCAACAATAAGAATAATCATTCTTTTACATAAATATAATAATGATACTGATAAAATATAGAGCTAAAAAAGAACATAATATAAAATGAAGCAAAAATATACACACTTCGTTTATAAAAGGAAGATGCACATTTAATTTACATGGTAGTAATAAACATAACTGTACGGGTTGAGTTCATGGAATACTGATACATAATTAATAAGAATCAACCAACATTAACTAACTTTCGAAGGAAGCAAAGGTTAAAAAGAATCCCGAGAGTTTTGTGATAATGGATGATGTATTTGCTTATATCTGCCTTGAAATCCAACAAGTATGTTAAGTTTAACGCATCATAAGTTCCCACAGCTGCAGCGGTGTCCCAGCTTTAGAAATTTGAATCTTGTTCTTCCAGTCTAATAACTGCAATGATGAAACGTTAAAGCCCACCTGCAAAATTCAGATTCATGTTAATATCAAAATTTCTACTAAAAATGTACAAGAAATTTGCCTCTGTTCCAAAATTTCAAATATTGAAGTGGCCAAGTACTTGTTGTAGAGTTCATGAAAAAGGGGACCAAAAAGAGAACAAAAAATGAGAAAATTTGTTCTTCCAGGGCAATCTAAAATCTACATTGAGAGAAGAAAGGAACAGTCTAGTAATTATGCTGTTACTCCACATATGAAACGGCCAGCCAAATTAATCATTAGTTGTGCCCTATTGCCAACCAAATTTTTTCCTTAAGAGCATCCACAATGTTGAAGCAAAATACCAATTTGGTGTTCAATTTTGCTGCGTGAATGCTCCAATGTTGCAGCAGAGCACCAATTCCAAGCAGCAAAATGCTGCAACAACCACAGTAAAATAACAAATTTGCTTCTCTCCTGTTGCAGAAGCAAATGGGACCTCAGCCCCTTTTGTTCGTTTTCCTTTTTTCTTTTTTACTTTTAATTTATTTACAAGTCTTTATAGTTATATTTTATTATTATTTTTCGTGGACATAAAATTAAGATTTTAAGAAATATCTTTCAAAGTAATTATTACTTTTTTTAATCGATGATTTTAAGTTTTTTTCGTTTATATTGTTCAAGAGCTCACTATTTTTATAATTAAATGATTTGATGTTGGAACAAAAATAAAAATATTTTTAATCAAATAATGTGTGTATTATATTATATTAAAAAAAGTATTAAAATACAAATACATTAATATTAGAGCAACCAAATTACCGAAATATAAAACAAACATTCAACAAATCAAAAATAGATACACACTTATTAGAAAAGTAAATAAAATTTTTAAACACATAACACAAACAAATTAGTAAATAATGATAAGAAGGAGAATATACAAAGAATATTCTGTTTTGATATAAAAAGTAGTATTGTGGGTTGGAGATAACAAGAAGAAAAACAACAAATTTGATTATTTTGTGTGTAGCAAATAGATGCAACACTAAAGATACTCTAAGTAGCTGCCTTATTTATGTGTGTGAGCAAGCAAGCAAATAGAAGAGCGAGAAGTACAGGAGCATTAGTATTAAGAAATACTATAGCCACTCTAACTTGAAGAACCACTACCTCACTAATTCTCATCATAAGTTGAGGATCCTTGTAGTGAAATTTAATGGTATTAGACGTATAAAGATGGCATATAGAATCAGTTGCTGCAATCATTAACGCAAGCAACCAGATAAAATCAAGGGGCTGAAAGTTTTTAACCAAATCTAAGAATGTAGCAACATTTGGTCATCTTATCTATTATTGGAGCAACATTTGGTCATCTTATCTATTATTGGAACTGGTGGATGAAAATTGTGTAAAAATAATTTTTGGAATATTTTTTAAAAGGTAAATTAAAAAGTTATTTGGATAGTATTAGAATTTGTCTTTGAGATGTGTTTTAAGAGGTAAAATGAGACAAAAATATAAAATAAGTGTTGGACAAACTAGCCTTTCTTAGCCTAAAATCTTATTTCCAGAAACATGTAATAATCACTTCTATCTACCCCACAGCCAACATCAAAAAACTGATTTAATGTCAAAAGATAAGACTTCACAAGAAAACCTCAAACGTAGATTCATATTATCGGAACTTAAAAGCCAAAAATCAAAATGGTTACTCTAATTGCAGCTATAGAGGCGAAAAATCAAACGCTTTAAGTGCATATGAAAGACTGCGTTAAGTGGCAGTTGCTTTTCTACTCAAAAACTACAGAAAGACCTAACAAAGTGATGTCTCTCAGCCTAACCCTAACTCCAACGGAAAAAAGAAACCAAAAACAATCGAGAAGTAAATTTTCAAGTACAAAAACGCTTATAAAGCACAGAACAAAATTAGGGGTACACAAAATCAAACGGGAAGGGAACGAATCAAAAGGCACAAATTAATCTCACCTTGACGCAAATCGAATATACCCCAAGAAAGGTCTAAACCGCCACACTCAAACCAAAGAGAAAGCAACCAACTTTTGATTGGCAATTGATGGGAGGAAGGAGAAAAAAGTAACGAAATGGGAAGACGAACTGAAGAAGAAAACGGAGTGGAGGGAGTTCTCCACCGTAAAAGAGAGTAACTGGGCGGCCACGTGACGGAAAATGGAGGGATGATTTTACTATGCTGGACTATAGCATGCGGGGCCACGTGTCAAATTTGAGCGGTCACCACATAAATGGGAGCAGTCCCGATCCAACTCTAGATCGTCTGTCCATTCATTTCGTGTCTTACCCTGTCCAAGATATAAAACGGCATCGTTTTAGTAAGAAAAAGGCCGGATCTCCCTCTCTTTTGATTCTTGTTGGGCCTCGGCCTTGTTTTTACTCTTTTATCTTTTTACCCTAATTTTTTTTAGACCTTTATTTATCTTTTCTCTAATCGGTTTTCCACGAATTAACTTTTCTTTATTCTGTTCAAAAATCAAAATTCTCCTTTCTATCGACTATCGTTCACTGCCGATTACATATTTCTTCCACACACAGTTGCAGATTGTAAAATTTCAGAAGTTTAATTTGACCTTTGAATTTGGAGTTTGGGTGACTCCGTCAATTTTTTGTTTGGGGAAAATTTGATTCAATTATTTCCGGTATGACTTGGTACTTATCATAACCCGAAGCAAGAATGAAGGTGTTCATGTGTAATTGACGACGACCATTGGCTGCAATGATTTCCTTGTAGATATAGTTTCAGAACGCCTAGATCTCGGTTGGTTCGTCCACTTTTTCAGGGATATCCATATGATTTGGGGTTTTGGCAGGACGATGTAAAAACTAATGTTATGGTGAAAATTACATTGGTTAGTTTGAGCCTTGTATCTTGTGTTGTTTTTTCTATCCTTTAATTATGTAGTGAAACAATGCTGGTATGTGTTTTGTATGTTTGTTGGTAGCTCGATATTTGTATCTGAATTTTTTTAATGTTTGTCAATTGGTTTTGCCTTTCCGAGGGGGGGAGGGGGGGGAGGGGGTCATTGGGGGTTTTTGAGTTGATTAGCTCGGTTCATACCTCAAAACACTTGCACTAATGAGAGGAAGCCGGATATGGAGGTGGAATTTTTGGCGGTCGGTGAACGATGGGAGTTAAGGTGTTCCACTGGGATTGCTTCCGAAGCTTCCTTAGTATGCTTGTTTATAGGAATCATAGTTAAATAAGGTAAAATGACGAAAAAAAAAAATTAAGAATAATGATAAGGAAAACATATGTAAGAAATTGTGAAAACGAGGCCCAGGCCCAACAAGAATCACAACAGAGATAAATCCGGCCCTTTTCTATTGGAACGATGTCGTTTTACGTCTTGGACAGAGTAAGACAGAAAGTGAACGGACAGACTATCTGCTCTCCCCTTCATGTATGTAGATCCGGCCCTTTTCATATATGTAGATTAACAGGCTTCAATAACCACTACACCCCTTCGTTACCGCCCAGTTTCACTGTCCTAACTCTACTTCTACCAAAGAGACAAACCCTGTAACATAGTCATCTCATTTTTCTTCACTTTCACCTGTTTCCCTCGCATTCTCCATCTGAGCTCGTTCCTGATTTCCACCAACACAGCTTTCACATGTCTGTCTTATCCTGCATGAAGCTTGAGATTCCTGCTCTGCCGGATGTGAGATTAGTCTGCTGCAATTACAACAAACACTACGTTCTCCCGCACACTTTTACCTTGCCATACATAATTCATTCTTGTCTTTTCAGCTATGCTTCTGGAAACTTTATCCAATCCCTGACCCTTTTCCACAAATCAGTAGCATATTCACACTGGATAAATAGATGATCCATAGTCTCCATATACTTACCACACAAGGGACATGATCCATCCTAGATCATCACTCCCATAGTTTTCAGTCTCTCCCTGGTAAGCAGTCTTTTCTGCCAACTGAGCCACAAAGTAAAACAGTACCGGGGTGTATTCAGTCTATTTTATATAAATCATGTTACTTTTAGTTTTGGTTGTCCTCCTCTCAAGAAATGATAACCAGAAGAGATGGTATAACATCCATGTTGAGTTATTATCTACCGATTACCCTGAAATCTTTCTTTCAACTTATCCCTCACCATTAGAAGTTTTTTCCAGTGCCAATTGGAATCATGTACTGCATGAGTTTTCCAAAACCCTTCTCTCTTCAAATAAAATCTTTGTAGCCTTTTAATCCACAAATTATCCTTCTTTCAACCAAAAAAGATGGTATAGCATCCATGTAGCCATTTAATCCACAATTTATCCTTCTCTTTTGGTTGTGCTCCTCTCAAGAAATGATAATCAGACGCGATAGTATAGCATCCTTGTTGAGTTATCTTCCACCAATCACCCTGAATTCTTTCTTTCAACTTATCCCTCACCATTAGAAGTTTTTTTTCAATGCCAACTGGAATGCTGCACCGCATGAGTTTCTCGAGACCCTTCTCTCTTCAAATAAACTCCATGTAGCCATTTAAGCCACAAATTATCATTCTTTTGCTCAAATTCCCAAACCTATTTTCCAACAGCAGCCATATTCCACAGAAATATATCTCTAATTCCTAATCCCCCTTCTTCCTTTGGTTGACAAACCTTCTACCAGGCTACCAAAGAAATTGACCTGTTTGTTTCTTTCCTGCCCCACATTCAACTTGCACAACCATACTTTTTGGGAGCAAATACACCATTGTCCAATAAATATGCATATGCCTCAATACTGGATTAATGAGTTGTACCCTTCCCATATATGACAAATGTCCCGATGGCCAACTCTGCAGCCTGATTGTTATCTTATCAATTAACATCTGACGGTCTTTTTAGCTCCATTTTCTTAGCGACAATGGGAACCCTAGGTATTTTAGAGGAAAGCTCCCTCTCTCAAAACCCACACATGCCTCAATCATGTCCCTTTTCTCCTCCGAACACCTCCCCCTGTCCCCGGCCCACATAAATTTGAGACTTACTCAAGTTCACATACAGACCAGATGTCACCCCTAGCTCCTCAAGTTTCTTCATTACATTCATGACTGTGCCCTTGGCCTTACAAACTATAATCAGATTATCTGCGAAACATAGGTTCACAATTCCTAGGGTTTCGCATAACGGATGAAGTTGTATAGTACCCTTTTGAATTTCCTGCCTAACATTCTAGTGAGATACTCCATAACAAACAAACAACAGAGGAGAAACAGATCCCCTTATCAAACCTACACTTTCCCTTAAAAAAACCTACCAAACTTCCATTTAAGTTCAATGAAAATGAAAGTTATAATACACTGCATAATCCAGCTAACAAATTTTAAAGGAAAACAAAAACCTATCATTACTTCATGAATAAACTCCCAGTTTATGTTGTCATAAGCCTAAAATAAATTAATGTTGAAAGTTTAATATTATGTGTTCAATATGATTTTAGGCCGCTACAAAATTTAGGACTACCAAGTTAAAAATTGAGTGTATTATACTATCTAAAAAATAAATTCAAGTTGTGATTTGAGATAAAAATGATACGAATTGAAATATTGGCTACTTTTTATAGGGAAAAAATATTAGGTCAATTTTACATACTTAATAAAAATTTGATGTTATTCGATCGAGTAGAGTTCAATATTGATAATGTATTCCCTCCATACCATTAACTAATCAACATAATTTTTGGCTGTGACATTTCTTTTGCTAAATCTTCAATTCATCGATTTTTTCGTCGAATTTCAAAGTAAACTAATGAGTTGACACCCAAAATTAGTAAAGAAATACATCATGTTAAGGTCATAAAGATACAACAGAAAATTACCATAGTCAAAGGTAAAATGAATTTTTGAAACTGTTTAATAGACTTTCATATTGAGCTAAGTTTTTAGTCCAATTCTTAAATCAACTAACCAAATTGAACATGGAATGAATAGACTTTCTTATAGGTTATGAAAATTAATACTACATTACCAATCAATAATATAGTCAGGGAATCATGCTAATGAGGCAAAATAGTGAGTTTTTGAATTAGTACTTGTTTGTCGGTTTTGCTAACTAGACAAAAACTCGACGCCAAAACTATCTTAATTTTTTATTTTTTTTTTTAAAAAAAGAGACATGTGTTGAATTTCAAGTTGATAACTATAAATTAAAAATATTAATTGAAAAAATAATGTACACAATTTCTATATGTTTTTGTATATTTTAGCTAGCTTATGAAAGAGACTGCCAAGTTAAAAATAGAGTGAATTGTATCCATTCATTTTGCTCCATGTTAAATTTCATATAATCATAATAAAGTTGATAGAAGAACTTATTATTCTCGGTTTATATTTAGATCTATAGAACATTCACCATCTTTTTATTGGATATGGATATGTGATAAGAAATTTATTGTCTTATGAAAGGTAATGGTTTTATAATTTATGAAGCTAATCTATGCAATCTGTAAATTTGAAAGAAAGATAAAATCAATTAATCACCAAATGATAATGGTTTCGTCATTTGTCGACATTTGCGTCGACTTGTCTAAATAAGTGAGAAAGTCGACGTTTATAATTTTAAATAATAAAAAATAATTGCAGTGAATTTTACATCGATATTGATAAACCGAAAAATAATAATTTAAAATAAAATTACGACAGACAATAGGAAAATTGATGTTGATATTTTCCAGTAGATTTTATAATTGTACCAACGTTTTACCTAGATTATAAACCAGACAAGTTGAATATGGACGTGTCTTTTTTTCACTTTGTCATGAAAAGGAATACATTTTCAAATAGTAGTACCATCAAGAAAATTATTGACAAGCTGTCGTCACCACTAGTCAAATAAAATTACCTACTTAACACTAATATAGCGAAAAATAAGGTCGATCCCACAGAAAAGGATACTAAATACTAGGTTAAAATTATTTTTTATTATTGTTTAAACAACTAGTAATAATAATTTTAAATTAAACTAAATCTAAAACTAATAATTAAATCTAATTAATTAAATAAAAAAAAACATAGGGCAAAGGTTTCACCAACCGACTAGTCAGTTTAACTCAATCTATAGATTTGTGATTTTGAACTCTCATTAATTTCATAACGATTCACAAGAATAAGAACTATTTACTATCGTGACATAATTCTCTTACCTAAATTAACTCTATGACTACTGTCGTGACTATAGGAATTAATAAAAGCACATTAAGAACTTTAGAATCTCTAGTTGCAAAGGCGGTGTTCCTACTATCATGGCTCACTACCTAAGTCTAATATTCCCATGAACTAGTGCTAACCTTCAACCGTTATTCCTTGAGTCAAACACCTTTAAAGCATGCAAGTGGTGATCAAATACTCACATGGAATTAAAAACAAGAATATTAAATATCAATTAATGAAAAAGTCACAATCATAACTTAAATTTAATTAATTAGTAAGGCGGCTACATCCAAAACCCTAAATTAAATAATTTAGCTACACATCATCTAAAAAAAATAGAATAATTTAAAAGAACAATGGAACCAGGGAGTGAAGAAAAAGTTTGCTGATGACGTTGATTTGCTCTCGTATGCGTGCGCGGCTACTTCTCCTGTTGATATTGATATTCTGCGCGTCCGGTTCTCTTCAGGAAAACAAAATCCCAGCCCCCTTTTATAGCCCAAAAAAAGTGCTTGTTTGGACGTCAGCTTACATTTCATTTTGCCGCTTAAAAGTGGAAAGTGTTTTAAGTTGAAAATTAAACGAGAAATGAAAATATTGTTTGGATGGTATTTTGAGCAAAAAGTTGTTTGGATGTTAGTTTTGAAAAAAATATTTTGAACTACATTTTGAAAATATCAAGTACGAGTCATCACTAAACAATTAAATACTTTCAATTATAGTCACTGCAAAAAAGAACTTTTCCAAAAACAATCACTCAACAACGGAATCCTGCCAAATTTGTCACTGAACTATTTGTAGTTCTAAAATGGTCATTACACTAACAAAAATTGTTTCAAGTTGGAATTTAAAATGTAAATCAGACCGTTGTTTGGATGATATTTTTTTTTTTCCATTGGGTTTTGTATTTAAGAGGTAAAATGAGATAAAATGCAAAGTGGAAGGTTGGCCAAACAAACTAAGTCACCCAAAAGAAAAGAGCATATGGGCTTCATATTTGATGGGGCTTTCTTTTCTTAATTTTCAGCACTAGCCCAATTTTCTGGTGTTTAGGCTCCACTAGAAAACCACAAAAATTATTCCTCCAGCCCATGCAAGTCCACTCACGGCCAAACCCAAAGCAAAAGGTCCAAAATTGCTGAATTGGTCCTTTAAATTTTCAAGTCTTCTGATTTCTTCCTCTTTAATTCTCCAAATCTTCAATAAAGTCTAAGATTCCAATAATTCATCATTTAATCTTCAAGAAAAGAATTTGTTTCCTGCACATCATAACTAATTTAATTAAGCATTAAATTCAATTCTAAAAATAAATTCTTATTAAAAACACTACGAATGAGAGTATAAAAATATATCTAATTTAGCACTTATTAATTTTAAAATAATAAAAAATGATATTGTCTTTTGTCTAATTTTTTTTGTTGGTTTTGATAAGTAGACGAAAAACTTGACGCCCACACTATCTTTCCAAAAATTATTTAAAGTTAAATTTAGGTAAAAAAAAATGATAAATCAATAAATAAGAAATTACAATAAATTTTAAAATATTCAATAGGAAAATGGATGTTCAAAATTTTCAATATATCTTTATTCTTTTATATCGTGGGTAAAAATTGATTAATTTAACAGTTGATTCCTCTATTCCGGTTGTCCAAGTTAATAAGGGATTGCCAATTTTAATAAGAAACTTAACTGGACACAAAATTTGATTCTCTATAAATATTGTATTTTGTTGCCAATAAGAATTTCCACTCTCTATTCAACATTTTCCGATAACATGAGTAAATTAGTTTCATCATCCATAGGTCAAATCCGAACTCAAACGGTACAACCGTTAAAAAAAAAAAAACAAGGATAGGTTGTACAAAAAGAGAAAACTATACCAGAACTTTTGAAAAAGAATCAAATAACAAATGAGATTATCATTACTCTATCACATGAAACTTAAAACTCCTTTGGTAGTTTCGGTAGCCACTGGCGTGATCAAACCTTGCAGGGTCCTCCGTTTACTGGCCAGTCCAGCTTAGTTCGGTCCAACTGAGGAATTAGGCCCCTATGTAACAACAATTTAGAAGAAGCAAATTACGGAAGGGGCCAAATTGTGTTTAGTTATTTTCATCTTTTCGATCAGAAGTCAAGAGGGACCAGCCGCTGAATTTGTCCATATATATATTTTCCTTTTCCTGCAAGTAAAATACTCCCTCTGTCCCAAAATTATTGTCTAGTTTGACATTTCACTTTCAGTACAATTTGAACTAAAAATGAAAACTCAAATTGGACAATAATTATAGGACGGAGAGAGTACAAAATTGGAGGCAATTGGAGCTAACCTGTATTGTTCCAAAATTCAACGATTCCCCAATTGTTAAAGCATTATCTGCACATTAGTCCATCTGGTTGTTCCCTAAGTTCGGATGACATCAAATGAAAAAAAGACTTAATTAAAGCGTTACGTCTCAATCAACTCAATACATAGAACATTTAATCTAGTTATATCTTATCCTTTTCTCGTTTAGTTTAAAAGTTTAATATGTTTTTTTAATTGAGATAATTGTGGTATGTTAATCATAATGTAAGTGTTGATGGGCTTCCTAATGACTTTGGAGAGTGCAAGAATGAGTTGGTCGTTGGGGGTGATGTGTGTCTAAATCTAATCCCTGTGCATGCTGATGTGATTTAGATGGGTCTGACTGACTGTTGAACCTGTCTGATTTGGACATTAACTTGCGAATTATATACTCATGTATTAATCCACTTATGCATTAATGAGAAGACTAACTCTTAACAGTATGACTCTGTCTCACTAGTACGAAACACTTATTGGTGCGCAATTTTCCATGAATTACAAATTAGCAAGCCACTCTAGACTGGTGTACAAAAATATGGATAAAGAATCTGCTTGATTCCTTCCATTATCATATGTATCATCATAATTTCACCAATACAATAAGACTAATGTGTTTGGGAACTACTGTGTTTCAAGTAGAATCATCACCCCATAATTAAAGTCTAATATAATGAATGTTGTAATTTAGTCTAGTTTTCAGTAAGACTAATGTATTTGAGAGACGAATTAATTTCGGCCTAAGACATGGAAAAAAGAAGGGAACAAAGAAAAAAAATAACGAGCATAAGACTATACTTTTACTAGTAAGAACTCGGAAGACATGATTCTACTTTTATTTTGTTATGAAAGGTATGCGATGAAAATTTAAACTATATAAATAATAATAATAATAATAATAATAATAATAATTTGATGGAAGGTTCTTTGCCAGCTTCCTCGAATCTCTTTAATTCCTTCACGCTAATGAGTGATGATGCAGAGAACTAGGGCCACTCCACTTCCACTTGTAGTTTACCAGCCTTAGTCAACTCCAGGAAATTTTACAATTGTTTTGCCCGCAAGCAAGCTGGTCCCTTTGCTAACAAAACAACAATCTGTAGGGACTGATGATTCGATATTCGATTGCGATTTCCAATTGTTTTGATTACTAGTATTATTTTTCCTTTTTACAATTCTCTTTATAATGCATAATAAAGTTTATGATAAATAAAATAGGATGGAACAACATATTTTCCCTTCGGGATTTTGAGAAACAAAATATAATATAATCATTTCAGTCACCCGTCAAGGTCGACTGTGGGAAATGGGAATGCTTAAAAATCAACCAAAATTCAATGCAGATGAGATGAACCCTTTAAGGAATCTTCAGACCATGTTTCTTTTTTAAAAAAAAAAAAAAAAATTGGATAGCTCTAGCGAGAATCGAATTCTCCGGTAATAACTATATCCTATCATAATCCCCTAACCACCCCACCAAACCCTCCCACCCTTCTTCAGACCATGTTTTTCTGACTCAATGGAATACTACGACATTAATGCAAATAAATTAAGTGACGATGGCTTCGGGATGAATTGGAATCCCCAGTATGAAACCAATCTAATTCAACACTACAATCCATACTTTTTGCAGGGGCTGAAAGACCACCCAAATTCTGAATTTGAATTATCTTTCTTCTTTGGCTCGTGGCCAGGAAACTACTATCAAACTAAGACCATTGTTACAAACCAGAGTCAATTAATACTGCTCCGTACTTCTTAGAAGTTTATATCAAAACAGAACGATGAAAATTCGAAGCAACCACATCTTGACCACCATGTTTACTACCTTCAAGCTCTTTCTCGTGCTTTTTGCTTTTCTTCTGGTAGGTTTTGCATCGGCTCAGGATCTCGCCATCCACTATAATGGATTCCGTCCCGCCGAAGTGATTCTTGATGGCATAGCCGAGATCACACCCAACGGTTTATTGAAGCTGACAAACGCCACCAAGCAAGAAAAAGGCCACGCTTTTTACCCGGAACCCGTCAAGTTCAAGAACTCCGACGACGGTTCTGCCTTTTCATTTTCCACCACATTTGTCTTTGCCATAGTCTCACAATATCCTACTTTGAGTGGCCATGGAATCGCTTTCGTTATTGCACCAACAAGAGGCCTTCCGAATGCTCTGCCAAGCCAGTATCTTGGCCTTTTCAATGGAACCAACAATGGAAATGCCACCAATCATGTGGTTGCCGTTGAACTCGACACGATACAGAGTAGCGAGTTTGGAGACATTAATGATAATCATGTCGGCATTGACATTAATGGGTTGAGATCCCAAGTGTCGCAACCAGCTGAATACTATGATGACAGAAAAAGTTCGTTTCAGAATCTTACTCTTATTAGTGGCAAAGCTATGCAAGTTTGGGTGGATTATGATGGCGGTTCTAAGCAAATGATTGTGACTTTGGCTCCGGTACATATTGGTAAACCGAATCAGCCTCTTTTGTCTTTGACTTATGATATTTCCCCTGTTTTAAACAAAACCATGTATATTGGTTTTTCATCATCCACTGGTTCAGTACTTACATCCCATTATGTTCTCGGATGGAGCTTCAAGATGAACGGTGTTGCTCAAAATCTTGATCTGTCTCAACTTCCTAAGCTTCCACGAATTGGACCCAAAGAGAAATCCAAGCTTCTGACAATTGGTTTGCCGGTGGTTTTGATTGCTACTTTTTCAATAGTTTTGTCTGGAGTAATCTATCAGGTGAGAATCAAAAAGAAGTTTGCTGAGGTACTAGAAGATTGGGAGTTGGAATATGGTCCTCACAGATTCAAGTACAAAGATTTGTACATGGCCACAAAAGGGTTCAAAGACAAGGAATTACTAGGAAGAGGTGGTTTTGGCAGAGTATATCATGGCGTATTACCTAGTTCCAAAATTGAAGTTGCTGTAAAAAGGGTGTCTCATGAATCCAGGCAAGGGATGAAAGAATTTGTTGCAGAAATTGTAAGCATTGGTCACTTACGCCACCGGAATTTAGTTCCCCTTTTGGGCTATTGTCGGCGAAAAGGGGAGCTGCTGTTGGTGTATGAATACATGCCTAATGGAAGCCTTGACAGGTTTCTCTATGACCAGCCTGAGGACACCTTGAATTGGAGCCAAAGATTTCGTGTCATCAAAGGCGTCGCATCAGGGCTGTTCTATCTTCATGAAGGATGGGAAAAGGTCGTTGTTCACAGAGATGTGAAAGCTAGCAATGTCCTAATTGACGGGGAATTAAATGGAAGGTTAGGCGATTTTGGTCTCGCAAGGTTATATGATCATGGGACAGATCCTCAAACAACACATGTTGTGGGAACGCTCGGGTATCTCGCGCCGGAGCATACACGAACCGGCAAGGCTACAACCAGCACTGATGTGTATGCTTTCGGGGCATTTTTGCTTGAGGTTGCTTGTGGTAGAAGGCCTATAGAACCAAGATTGGAATCAGAAGACATGATCTTGGTTGATTGGGTATGTTCTTGCTGGAACAAAGGTATAATTCTTGAAGCCGTTGATCCAAATCTAGGAAATGATTATGTGAAGGAGGAAGTGGAAATGGTGATGAAGCTTGGATTGATATGCTTGAACTCTGAGCCTACAGCAAGACCAAGCATGCGCCAAGTAGTTCTGTACTTGGATGGCGCTTTGGCATTACCAGAGTTATCAGCACTAGGTATTTCTGCAACCGGACTAACGTTTTCGAGTCGAGATGGATTTAGTGATTTTATGTTATCATATCCATCCTCCATGGAGCAGCCATTCTCACACCCTTCATCTGCTACCGAATCCCTTCTGTCAGGTGGCCGATGAATGAATAATACAATAATTTCTTGATCAATGTAGCAAACTTCGGCGTTTGTATTTTTAGTTTGGGTTTAACCTGCATTTGTATATGATCAATAAGAGCAGAGACTATCATACAGTTAAAGCATTACTATCCGTCTACTTAAGAGATGCATCACACAATTACACACTGGTTGGAATTTGAATTTTCTTTTATGATAGTTGAATTTGTTTCTTAGTGGTTTTGGCAATTTTGAAGATTGTCGCCATTACAATTGTACTCCAAGAAAAGTTGAGGAGTAAACCCGTATTGTAGATTAGTGGCAAATCTTATAAGATACAAACTGAAAAACCTTTGCGGCAAACGAACTGAATTGTCGGCATGACTGCCGATGAAGGTACACTGGCTGTTCCAAGATTTAATACTGTTAGGATTTAGGAATGTAGAACATTTGATGGTAGCAGGTCTGCACAGATAACCGAAAGTTAACTTCAAGAGACCTTTAGTTTCTAATCCCTTTTGATCTTTTAATACCAAAACTGTATTACAAGTTTAAGAAACAGGACTGTTAGTAAGAGAGGAAGGGCGGAACTACAGGGGGGTCAGGAGGGTCGCACGACCACCCGGCCGCCTAAATTTTCCCCTACTAGGTGGTCTCCGACGCGGCCGTCAGTTTCTATTCCGACCCCCCCGATCGGTTGGATATTTACAGAGGAAAGAGAAAAAGGGAGGAAGAATATGATGTAGTGGCCGTTTTGTATAAACTTGGGAAAAAAAACTTTTGTTTGGGGCCTTAACTTCTTAAAACAATTGGGCCTTATTCCAGTTTCAGTCCTGTTTTCATTTTCTAAATGAAAATGGGTTAAATCTACGCTTTCATTATTATTGTAATTTGGCCCATTCTAATTACTCCCTCCGGTCCATATTATAAGACATTTTGATTTCGTCTCAAGTTTAACCTAAGATGTCTTTTTAATTAGATAAAAACTTTAAAAATATATTTTTACATTCGTTATGTTCGCCTAATTATTATGAAATATTTTTAAGATTTTTATTTCAATTAAAAAAAATCGTAGGTGAAACCTAAGACGAAATCAAAATGTCTCAAAATACCTTATAATAAGGAACGGGGGAGTAGAACAAAAACCACACAACAAAATGTCGCGTATTCTAATTTTATTTTTTTTTCTATTTTTCATGCCGTCTCAAACTTGATCTTTTAGGGGTAAAAAGAAAGGAAAAGAAAAGAAAAACTACGCTTAAGTGAATTGTACTCTAATGAAAGTGAGCAGAATGATAGTAGAAAACATCCATAAAATGATAAAGGCAACGATTGCGTTGGCCAACCCTGTGTAATCCATCTTATTATTTATAAAATGATAGTTTCAAAAAAAAAATTGTGATTGCCGCTGATCAATATTCATATTCGACCGCCGCCCCGAAGGCCCCAACTCTTGTCCAGTATAGTGATAAATACTATTTGAAATGATTTTATCAATAGGTTGCATTATGTGGTTTTTTTATAATAAAAAATTAGTGTAAAAAATATTTTATAGCGACCCTTCAGATTAGAAGTTCTGGTTCCGCCACCGGAAGGGAGTCATTAGTAGCCAGATTCACTTACTGATACCAATAACAGTATGAAAAAATCTCTTTGTTTTGCAGATGTCTTTAAGGCTATCAGGGAAAGGGTGTATGATGCTAAGAGAATGTATTTACAGATATTGGAACAATTATCTGACAAGTCATTAAAGGAAGTTGCACTTGGTGATGCAAATGAGGACGCATGAAGAATTGAACATTTTATGGTAAGCACTTTTTGGAACTTTTCTTCATGATCATTGATAGTAATAATAAAATCCATTTCATTATAATGTTAATAGTGATATTTTGATTATATTTGTAAAGATATTAATAAATTTTATTATTATTATTTTTTTTTAGGTATACCAAAAAGTGAAAGATGAACTAATTGGATTGTTATTGCTGTTTTAAGAAGTTTACAGAGATAAACGCATAGAAGACTTGAGATGCTGCAACAAATAATTTCTTTGGAAATTTTTTTTACCGAGTCAAATAAATCTCCTACTCATCAAATCTTTGACCAGCTTAGTTGAGATAAAAGAATCCTGCAAAATAAAAAAAATCTAAATCTACTTGAGAGTTGAGACTGAAGATTGGATGATATTGGAGTTGGCGGTTGATCCTTTATACTTGAATTACAGAATACTTGAATTCAAGATATTAATGATTCTTTTCTCTGGAGTAGCCTAATTCGGTTGATTCTTTTCTTTGGAGTTTTAGTTCGGCCAAAACGTACTAAAATAAAAAAAAATATATAAAAAAATCTACTATAAAAAAGGGTGAATGCCTTGAAAACGCACCCGTAGCAAGCATTAGGCTACTCTCTTCTCTCATTTTTGGCCAAGTTTTTAAAAGCTTTAGTTTTATTTTTATTTTTCATTTTCTTCAATCATTTTAAGATGTTTCTATTCAGTATGAGTGACTAGTTTTCTTATTTTGGTTCAAGGATTTTTATTCATCTATATTATATTTGAAATTACAAGTTTCACTTTATTCTTTTCTACTTTTAATTCAAGTATATGTTGATTTTAATTTATTTTTATGAGAGTTAATACTTAGTTAATCTGACAATTTGATCGAGTCTTAAAGTGGCCTCTCTTGAAATTCGACTTGATAATTTTATTATTTATACAAGTAAAATTTGATCTGTACGAATATCAGATTAGTTTTTACGGGTATCGACAAACTCGTCAATCATCTTATAGGCCTTATGATGAGTCCATTTGCAAGAATCCAAGGAGGATGGAAATTTTGCACTTAGTATCACCAACAATGTTTATAGCTAACGCTCAATTTGTTACCAGAACTCTCATTCATAAGTTGTCTCATTAGGCCAAACGTTCGGTTCCAGGAAGAAAGTGGAAGACTATCCTTTATTTACAGTTTCGCATCCTCAGAACTGGAATTTATTCATATTGATGATGTGTACTAATTGCTTCTTATTCACCGATGCAGAAGCTTGATAGTCGGTTAGAAAATTTATCTGGACTAGTAACGGCATACGCCCCAGACCCGAAAATAAGCTCTAAATGATCAATGCAAAAAAAAAAAAAAAAAAAAGCTCTAAAATGATTGTATTTTGTTTTCGGAATTAGTTACCAAGAATCCCTTTTACCTATTTAAAAACCTCTGTCAAGATGAACAAGTGGTAGTTTCAAACTACTTATTTCCCTGCCTAAAACATAAGTAAAAGAAAAAGTGTTGTTTTATGTATAGAAAAAAGAAAAAAGAATTAAAAGAAGAAAAATTAACCCCTAGCAAAGTTTGTGTTGTGGAAGTGAAGTCAGTCCTGCTGAGTTTTAGAATTAATTTTAGGGGTGCTATTTATCTCTACAATCTCTATATTAAGTAAGATAAAATCAAATTTCAAAAAAAATTTCCCCTCCAAATTCATATGGTTGTATAAGATAGTGTCTCATGTTTTTCGTAAAATAAATTTATCAAGATAAAATACCATTTATTTTTTAATTACTCATCAAAATGTTAAATCGGTGCACGGACAATCGACCGGGTTGTGACACTAGTAAACACTTAAGGGTAATAGTGTTCCATGTTTTAAGTTCTTTTTTTTTTTTCCCATCAGAGAATCGAGATGGAATTTGTTCAAAAAAGAACTCGAAAGACAATTAGAAGTCCAGCCAGACTCAATAAAAAAAGTGCGACTAAAAAATAGAAGGATAATTATTTAAGTAGCCATAAAAGTTCCTTATTTTAAAAACTGACTTACAATCTTACCGCCAATACTAGAATCACGTTTGCATTATTGATTGAATTTATATTGAACTATTTAGTCAAAAAAATTCGTTGGAAGACCATGAACTTTTCCTCAAATTTATGGCCAGCCCAGAAACAATAATCCAGAAGAAGTTAGGGGAGAGGCCAAGTTGTGTTATTGAATAGTTATCACCATATATTTTCTATCAATATAGTCGATCGAGAGGGATCAGTACTGCTGATTTTTCCAAATATTTCGTTTCTTCCAAATGAATACAAATGGGACAAATCAAGCTAAACCATTAATTTGTTTGAGAATTCAAAGGTTCTACAATTGTCAATTTTTAAAACATTGTCTGAAAACTAGTCCATTACACGCATTAAAGTCTTCCATTGTTCCATCTCAATCAACTTAGGTCTTTTTTTTTTTTTTCTTTTTTTTTCAATCAACTTAGGTCTTATATATCCTTTTCTCACTTAATAAAAAGTTTAATGCGTGCTTTCTTCATTTATTTTGATAAGTTAAGTTTGTTGATTTTTAAAGATAAAAGATTTTCTATAACGTTTTTGTGTTATGTTCGGTGTTACACTAATTAAATGATTGACATGTGTATAATCACTTATCTAAATTAATAGATTCACTTACATTTTGGTTAAAGTACTAGTATTAATAATAATAAAACACGATGAGAGACAAATTTTGGGTTCATGACAAATTTTAATTAAAGTACTAGCATTAATGGATTCATGGAGGTATTCATGAGATATTGAAATGGGATTGGACTGTTAAATTGCAGCATGTATGTTCAGAGAGACATATTTTGTAGCGGATCGAATTAGCAGCAATTGCTTCTACATGTCCAAGTGGGGTTTAACGTTTTGCTGTTCC